GATTCTATATTGGGATTCCTCTTCGCATGTGAATTTCATAGGTGAATGTACTTCATTGAATTCAGTAATTATTGTACTCCTATCCGAATCGTTATCACAAAGAATGGAGGCTTCATCCATATACCGGCAATAAAATGAGAACTTACTGATAAGGTTGTTCAGAGGTCCATTTTCTAGTTTAGTTAGGGAGAAATCAGCCAAAATGGAGCCTAATCGGGAACCCATCGCCACCCTATCCACTTGCCTGTAAAGCGTGCCGTCAAATTTGAAATTTACATTCAGGGTACACCTTAATAACAATTCTTTTAGGATTTGAGTAGGAATGTCAATGTTAATCGACTGGTTATCCAATTTTTCACATATGTAGTTAACTGTTTCTACTAGAGGTACATTTGTGGATAAAGATGTTATGTCCAGAGATATCATGGTTTTGTCCTTGATATTAATATCCATTATTTTTTCTACGCATTCAAATGCATCTTTGACGCTACATTTCACTGTCTTATCATGCAAAGGTTTGAGAATATTTACAAACCATCTAGCTAGAGCATGGTAGGGCGAATTTTGCATATCAAGTATTGGTCTTAACGGTACCCCTGGTTTATTCACTTTAGGTAGGTCCAACAGTCTTGCCGTATACGTGCCCGTTGGTCTGATTTCTTCATATAAACTTTCAGAAAATATCTGCTCCTCCCTTTGTTTCTTCAAACGTCTAGTCAATTCATTCTCTATTTTGTTGTTGAAATCTTTCTTCTCCCCAAGTTTTTGAAACTTCTGTATGTCCTTCACTATATCATTCATCTTTTTTTTGTCAAACGAAAACATGGCACCAGTCAATGAAATCCACAACAGTTAGTTTAAGCCAGCCATGTAGGAAGGTGTAGACTTCCTGACTGGTCGGGGTCCTCAGGACGGTAAAAACTAATGGCTGGAAACAATTGGTGACATGTCTCAAAATCGTTCTCAATGGCTGGGGCAGCTGCATCCACTCCTTGTGACTTATGATTTCAAATGAAGCTATGTCGTTCTTCGTTATTACTATTCCGTTGTCTCACACTTCTGTTTACTGTCTATATTATGCATTTCTCCTACTTTCTTCTCTTGCTTTGTGTGTTACAAGGAGGGAGTGTGGCGACTTGAACTGCCGCACATCGGTGCAAAGTTCTATGTCTAAAACCGACCGATTCATCTTTTTAATATAGTCACTTCTATCAAGGAGGACTACTCCTGATCCTTTATCGGGCTTTGTGATAATCAGTCTCTAATCATTTATCGGTTTTTTAGTTCTTATTTTTGCTCTTTTGTCAAGAAACGTTTACTGTCGCATTCGAGGCTTTTGTACTGATAACAACAATCCACTAGACTGGATTTGAAGCGTTCTAGTTCCAAGGTGGATTATGGAACTATATCCCTTGTTTGTCTAAATAGGTTTTCAAATTCAATATCAGTATCTAAGTGATTAACTCGTTTCGGTCCATCACAAAATCGAAGGCCAAGGGAAAGTACTTCGAGTTTATTTATATTATATTTATTATACTGTATTGGATCTTATTCAAATGTCCAAAACACCGTTCATTAACTAATTGATTGGTATGACGGACTTTTTGCTGCTTTGAAGCTGAGATCATCAGCAGTGTATCGGGTTTGACTCAGCTCAGACGGCCGAATCAATTCCAACCATCTAATTTCTAGTGTTTAAATCACCTGGATCCTCTGGCTAGCGAACACTAGTGGTTGATTTGAATGGTGTATGACAGGTGATTACTCATCTCAATCAATCATTTGTATATAGTTTCATGCAAACATGCCTGGTGTCTTGATTACCATTCATGAAATGATGCAGATCACATGCTGTCATCGAACTGTGTACACTGTCAATTCCTAACTCATTTACAAATTGTAGATTTCACTTGCATACAAAACCATTGGATAAAAACATTACACAAAGAAAGGGGAGATATGAGCTGCTTCAATCTTTCTCTAGTCCACTTACTACAACGACAATCTGATCAAGTTTTTTTTACTATGCTTTGATAGTCTGCTCTCAAATGTCATGTTACTATGCCGGCGAAAAAGGTCATCACGAGTGCTTATTATTTTATTTTATATATTTACTAGTCAGTTAATTGAAACAAAAATTGTAGACAAATAATGTGAACTCATGCACTGACTCATGAAACAAAATTATTGATTTTTTATTTTGATTGATTTTAGCGATGGATATTTGACTACTAGAAAATAGTAGGAATGAATATCACATTTCTAGTTTCGTTTTTCAAATCAACCGAGAAAATAAAACCAGTATGAAAAGGCATTTGATCATTTATTGACTGGAATGTAGAATGTATTGATCATGGATCGATATCATTTGCAGAACTGTTGAAAGTCTAGGCAATTGTTTCGTCCTCGTCGGGTACTCTTCATGAGTGCAGATGAGTGCATATCACCGAAGAATCGAACTCTTAACGTTTAGGTTGCGAGATTAACCCCGACAGGATTGTTGCTGTACACTTCTGGTGACTGTCGTACTTAGTACGAAATAACTGTTGTTCAGTATTCCGTGATTTTCGATTATTCTCTAACTTACATGATAGTTCGTGACAATGCGTGATTCCCCTCAATTAACTAATATACCTTGTTGTTGTGAATACCTTTATAAACAACCACGCCTTAATTACCTCCTGGGACAGATAACTGCAGTGTTTGATGGGACACTGCGATGTGCAACACGTAATGTAACGACAGAAAACAAGGGTCAGGCAACAGTTCGTTTACTGAGAAAATCAAGAGGTATTTATAGATTTTTAATGTACATTATTATTCGTTATTGTAGCAGAGAAGTAACGTCTTCTAGTTGGATTTTTTCTTGCTCAGGGTCATTCTGTTATCCCTATGTGGGGCTGTTTCTTAGAAAGTTAGGCCATTTATCTGCGAATCGTATTTGCACACGTTAAGTCTGCTATGACTGAGTTGTGAGTTCCTCATGATGCTGATTCGAGACGTGAACATTGACGTAAATTTTTATTGACAGTTTTTGCTTGCAGACAGCTCTCACCACAGTAACAGTCCTACAGCCATGCTACAGATGTGCCTAGAATCCAAATCAAAGTATGGCATCAAATCCATTAAGTCTTTAACTGTCTGTTTCGACCATGTCAGGGAGTTGTAGACCGACTAGATAGTGATTTTGATCGCCCCATTATGCTCTACAACAGTGCCCAAGTTTTATACTTATAATCAATGATCTTGATCGTGTGAATGTATTCACGCTTTATAAACTCCATAAATTTATGATATTCTCATTATTCTGTATATACTTCCTATGTCACCAGTACATTGCTGTCATTACAGTCCCTTGAAGTTTGTGTTTGTTTATGCACTTTTGTGTGCTATATGAGGTGTGGCAAAATGATTTACTACTGCGTGAAAAGCTCACCTAAGCAGCCTTCTCAAACCTCAACTTTTCCAGAGTATTTTTTAAAAAATTCAATAAAACACAAGAAAAGTAATAGTTATCACAAACTCACTCTAACACGAAACCATCAATTTAGCATTAGTTATACATGTCAACATGTGGAGACTACTGTTACACCCTAGTCTGGGACTCATCGTCAGCATGCGCCAACTGGGCTTTGAAACCAGGACCTTCCAGCTGCAAGGCAAGCTCGTAACCAGCCAGCCACTGGGACCTGATTCAGTTGTGACCAGTCAAGTCCATCGAGTTGGAAGTGACATTGATTGGTGGTCACGCTAAAATCACGAATGGGTAGAGGCTAGAATTCATGAGCTGGCCATTGAGGAGTCGGCTCCCAGTGGCTGAATGGTCTATGAGTCAGCTTGTCTTGTAGCCGGAAGGTCCTGGCTTCAAAATACAGTGGGTGCGTACTGTCAATGATTCCCACACTAGCCAGTACTCCCTGGCTAGTTTTCAATAGTTCTCTAAATGATGTCATTCCGTGATCAAACTCGAAAAACAAATCTAATCCTTACAAATCAACACTTTAAAGCTGACGACTCTTCGATGGTAGACTCGCGTTCTGATTTTCGCCTAAGAATACGCTTGCTTAGCGAGCGACCGATCGATCGGGAGGGAGAGAGGGAAAATTTAACTTAATATATTAACTTATGATTTACTTGACTTTGTATAATAAGCTCAAACCCTGTTTAGTTTACTGATCTTGGAACATGTATGTGTAGCATCATTAGACTTTTCGGGATGGGTGCTGCTGTAACTATGTAATGATCAATTCTGAATTTCCGGATGTTGGATTTTAAATGTCCAAGTCATACTAACAGAGTAATGTTAACTTAATTATTTCTGTGACTGCGATATGCTTATTATTATTATTCTTTACTTAGAAGCCGAAGTGAAAACGATGAGTGGGGCGTCCGAGGATGACATGGAGGAGATCGGAAACTGTAGGTAACCGTGGGGCCGGCTAGAGAGGACCACAGAAAATAGGAGGACAAAATTGGAGACGTGCTGTTAAAGACCTATGTTTCACTTGGAACCCAAGGGAACAATAATAATACGTACGTTCTATTCCACTCAGTTCTCCGCTGTTCCGTCCAACCGACTCCATAACTACCAATAAGATTTTATTTCCTCCTCAGACTTTATCTTTTCTACATCACCCTAGGGCAGCCCACTCGTCGTTTCCAATTTAGGTTCCACTCGAGGACGTGGGCATGTAATGTCACTCACCACTCTCTTCAATGTATATCCAATCCGTTTCCATTTCGTTCTGCATATTTTTTAGGCGATAGGTTCTTTGTTAGATCGTTGCTAGAGTTCCTCGGTGTTTATTCTTTCTGGTCAGCAGCCTCATTATGTGGTTTGCTTAGTTCTCACTTATATGATTCTTATTTTTCTTTCTGTCCATTAATTCAAACAGAAAGTTTGCGCCAATTAGTGAAAGAACAATTCCTCGTCTCCAATTAGTTTGTCTGTTTTGTTTTGTTTTCTAACTTTATTTTCTCTTCTATTTTTCGCTATTTAGACACGTAAAGAGGCGTATTGGTTGGATGGCAAAATGAATTTAGATGGGCATAAGGTGTTCATCCTGTCTGGTGATTTGGATGTTTCAGATCGTGAAAAAGTGATCGAAGATTTTCGTTCATCACGTTTTAGAGTTTTAATTACTACTAATATCTGTTCAAGAGGTTAGTTATTTGTTCCACATATTATTATTATTAATGTAATTATGATTTTTTACGAGTTGATCATGGATTTATATCAGTTAGAGAACCATTGAAAACCAGCGCTGGAGTACTGGACAGCCGGCTGTTTCATCCCAGTTTGGGAATCACCAGTAGTACGCACTGGGGTTCGAACCCAGGACCTTCCGGTTACAAGGCAAGCTAGTATAACAGCCAGTCACTGGGACCCGATTCAATGGCTCATGAATTCTTCGCGCTAAATCACGAATTGGTAGAAGTTAGAACTCATGGACTGGTCATTGAGGAAGGTCCTGAGTTCGAACCCCAGTGGGTGCCGATGATCCCCAAACTAGGATGAAACAGCTATCCAGTACTCTCTGGTTTTCAATGGTTCTCTAACTGATATCAATCCGTGATCAACTCGTAAGAAGAAACAAAACTAATCCTTACAAACCAAACAACTATAGAAAAGTAATTATTATACTGGGTCCGGGTCCTGACCTACACACTCCTAAATCACACTTTGTTCGGCAGTAACCTTGCTAACAAGAGAAGGTTGAGGGGAGCGTGTGGCTAGCCCCCCCCCACCACCACCCCATTCCTGTAAAAACACCGCTAACAAGATCACGGCTACTGAGACAAAACTTTAAAACTGAGAGCTCGAAACCCTATGAACTCAAAGGAATGTTTCAAATATATTGACTGTAACTATTATTGTTCGTGTTCAGGCAAGGAGAACATGGTCCACAGCATAAAGATGTACACATTTTCTATTTTGAGACTTCTCAGCTGTGAACAGCCTGAAATTATAAGAAAAGTGCAGAAGACGATTGGGGGAGGAAGTTTTAGCGAATGCCTCACATCAAAATGCTGACTAAACAACAAAATACTGAAAAAAAAGATTAAATAATACACTAGGCAAGAAAGCCTATTCAAGTGTTAGTTTACAGGGATCTGAATAGTTACAGGATTTCATCCTGGGATGAAATCGGTTGGAGAACTATTGGAAAAACATCAGAGAGTACTGAACAGTTGTCTCGTCCTAGTTTGAAACTCTCCAACAGTACGTACCCACCGGGGTTCTAACTCCAGTAGCCAAATGGTTTACGAGCTCGCTAGCCTTGTAGCCTGAAGGTTCTGGGTTCGAATCTCGGTGAGTGCTTACTGCCGAGGTGTCCCAAACCAGGTTGACGAAACTGCTATTCAGTACTCTCTTCTGGTTTTCCAATAGTTCTCTAACCGATGTCAGCTCACGATGAAATTTCGAAAGCATATATTAGTTGGTTAAGGTTGCACAGGTCAGTTGTCTTATAACTAGATCTACATTTCTCAATAAGTAGGCTGATGTAATCTCGACTCATGTGTCCACCAAATGGACATCTCAGAAATCACTACAAGACTCTTCAAACCTTTAGGAATCGATGTCGTACACAAACCAACAAAGTCACTCCACTCAATTCTATGTCAACCAAAAGACTCAACAGCGAAGGAAGATAAAACCAACATCATCTACAAAATAGATTGCATCAACTGCGAAAAACACTACATTGGCCAAAGTGGACGTCCCCTTCGTCTTCGTATCCACGAACATAAGCTAGCTGTCAAAAGATATGATATCCACTCCCTCATATCACTACATACAGACAACCACGGACATCAATTCGACTGGGACAACCAACGTTCAAATATTAGACAGAGGAAACAACAAGAATGCTAGAGAATTTTTAGAAGCTTGGTATTCCAGTGAATCATCAATCAATAGACACATCGAGATAGACAAAATTTATCAACCGATAAGAAAGAAACCTCACACACAAAGGGTCAAAGTTCAAGTCAAAGAAACAATGAATGACAATACAAGTAACCTAGAAGGTGTGAAAACACACAAAAACAACCAATCACGTCCAAGGTCGCCAGGAGAGATAATTAATGAACCTGTGGAGAAATCTAAAAGCTCACTTCAAATTGAAGTATGCGCTGAAGATGTCACCCAGTAGGGTGATGAAAGCTTCGCAAATTAACTATCCAGCTCAGAGAACACAACCATATCAAAATCAGGATCGTTTAGTTTTTGTTAAATAGTGCCACTTGTAGATCATGTGAGATATCCCACTGCTCATCATAATTTACACATAATCTTAAGTAAGTTAATCAGTCAAGAATCAGATGTGCCTAGAACAGTTTGTTGTCTAAGTAAGCTCAATTACTTGGAATATATACTAAGCTACGTGTTACACTTACTGTGTGAGAAGACTGATGATACTACCCATTTGCCCCAGGTTAAAGTAGGTTTAGCCGGACTCGAACTTATGACTCCTATCCCCTGAAAACTGACTGTTTAAGCCAGTCAGCCATGTCTTCACAGTTTGAAATCGAGCTCAAAGTCACTTCTTTGCACACTTTTTGTTTTAATCAATTGCGTAGTTCGAGTATTTTCCCAATGATGATGTTTATTCTATTGCTGTGTTATTCTTTCAACCCAAACCTTTAAGGTTTGGATATTCCACAGGTGAATTTGATTATTAACTGGAATATGCCGACAACAAGGAGTGGTAATGCTGACTGGGAGACGTATTTACACCGTATCGGTAGATCAGGTCGATTTGGCAAAGAAGGTGTAGCAGTCAATTTTATAACAAGTGATGAAATGTATCTGATAAAAGAATTAGAATCACAATTTGGTGAGTAGTATGTTTCGTAGGATATATAAATATATAAAGTTCTTAGAGTTAAATGCCACAGCTGCAAAGGTTTTGTTATTTAACAGGAGATTAATTGTGAATAGTCCGAATAGTTCATTGGTAGCGTCTCTAACTGCAGCACAGGGTGACGAGAGTTTGGACATCTGAGGTTGCCAATATGCCCTACAGATAAGTACCCGCAAGTATGAAACCTTTGCGTCGGTGGCACAGCGGTTAGGACACTCACCGACTATGCACATGGTCCGGGGTTCTATCTCCGGCCGATGCACTCCTTTACCTCGCTAACCCAGTAATAAAAAAGCTGATAAAGAGGAAAGGTTGGGCATGAGGCTAGCAACCCCATCCTGTAAAAATAAACACCACTGCTACAGAAACTTTACGCCTGTAGCTTGAAGTTCAAATGAACTGTCGTCAAGATTTGACAGAATAGTTCTAAAATATTTGGGCGCCGAGTGAGAAGTAGACATTTGTAAAAAATTATATTTGTAAAGTCTCAGGGAGATTGAAATGAGTAATTCCAACGTTTCGTTCGGCAATCTGGTCCGAACTTCTTCAGGGAAATTAATCGAAATTAACATAACATAGGTTTATATATAAAAAGGAACATCACTTGTTTTTAAAAACTTTGTCCAATCATGAGTCATTCAAAAAGTATCAACAAATATAATAAACGAAATATTATCAGCTGTGATCAAAATTTGACCTCGGACTTACAAATATTGATCATAAAATTTTAGGTACTAACAGTTTGAACGGACATGAAGGCGTGATGTTAGCTGATGCATAGGAAATCCTTATTAATAAACAACAATGGATATGTATCACTAATTATTAGTACTTGGTCAAAATTCTCAACTGTCCATATCTTCTTATGGAAATGTTAAGAAATGTTTTACAACTGTTTACCCACACACACACATACACACTCTGTTTAAAGTGTTTAACAAAGGTAGACCAATATTTGTAAGTCCGAGGTCAAATTTTGATCACAGCTGATAATATTTCGTTTATTATATTTGTTGATACTTTTTGAATGACTCATGATTGGACAAAGTTTTTAAAAACAAGTGATGTTCCTTTTTATATATAAACCTCTGTTATGTTAATTTCGATTAATTTCCCTGAAGAAGTTCGGACCAGATTGCCGAACGAAACGTTGGAATTACTCATTTCAATCTCGCTGAGACTTTACAAATATAATTTTTTACAAATGTCTAGCTTGAAGCCCTATGTTGCACTGGGAACGTAAAGGAATATTAAAAAAAGCATGGAACCTAAGTACAGAGCTTCTGGCAACATCTAACGCCATTTCAAAGTGCACCTAACTCGATCACCATGTTGACTGATAAAATTCAGTCAATACAAGCACCAAAGATTAGACACATGGTATTGGTTACTGCTTCGTAACCAGTTTATCATGATGTTAGTTTTTTGAATAGGTTGGAAATGCAGGTTTCCAGTGATGTGATTTATTTAAAGTTTAATCACAAAATAGCTTCTGTTAGAGAACCATTTAAAACCAGGGAGTAATGGATTGTTTCATCCCACTTTGGGACTCTTCAACAGTACAAGCCCCCACACACACAAAATCGGACCCAGCGCGAGCTCATTTACCATTCAGCCACTAAATAGGAATTCACCAGCCCATTAGTCGTATCCATGCAAAACAACGTTCTCGATTGATAGACGACTCCAAAATAAAGTTGTAGTGAGGAGTCATGACCACCGATGGCGTCTACCAAGTTGGGTGTGGAGACAAATCCTCACCAGCGATATTGGCTTGCAGTTGTGCTATTCATCACAGAATAGCTAATAGTTGTCTATGTAAGCACTGTGTTTGTCACTCATAGTCCACGACATTCATGACCGTTGATGTTATCTATTGAGAATTGGCTGTCGGTTGTGTCCAGTCAATTCCAAATTATTAAAAAGGGAAGACTTTCCTTTCGGCAGATTCATTCACAGTCGCATTTATATACAAATATTTTGTGTGCCTGTGTGTGTACATGGGGTTTGCCAAGTTTTGATAATTAATTGGGTAGTACAAAAATTATCTAATATAGAAACAAGGTTAATTAGACAGCAACTGAAGTAAGATTGAGTTAGTAAGTGAGATGACGTAATATAATTGACTAAAATGTTTCAACTTAGGTCAGGATAGCAAAAGAGGTCAATACAGGTAGAGACTAAGTAGAGGTGGGGTAGAGAATAATGCCATTTAAATTAGGACTGAAATTGAGCAAATATACTGGATGACGTAACACAAATGACTAGAAATTGAGGGTTGGTCAAGTCAGTAACAACGGTAATCATGTGTAGAAATTAAATTGGGTGGCGGTAGAGAACAGGAAAGTTGAAAATGTAAAATATCACAATTGAAAAGACAAAATAATACTAATGAAGAGACAGAAAGAAATAGAATTTTCCTGTCGGGTATTAAGATAGATTACGTCCATTGTAAGTGTAGTGATTGAACGAACTTCTCTATGCAGAGTTCAGAACTTAGCAAGTGAATTGCCATTGCTTCTGCAGTTTGAAGAAGTTTGACTCGTACACTTTTAGGCAGACTGCTTCGTATTCTGTAGACGACTTTGAAGTTTGTTTGGGGTGTAGCTTAGTATCTGTAATCTATCAGATGTTCTAAGATAGAGCTGCTGGGGCATCGTTTTTCTCCTTTGTAAAACCATGCTGGTAAGTGTTCGGTGATACGTTTGGAAAGCGAACGCTGGGTACGATTGACATACCTGGCTTCACACGAGCAAGTGAATTGGTAGATACACATTGATGAGGCCTGCAGTTTTGTGGTGAAGGTTAATCGTAGTTCGGCTGCTAAGAAGGTTTTCTTAAGTGAACGGGACAGTCGATTTTTCTGTGTTTCCGCAGATGAATCTCCATCGAATTGAAGGTTCATGTAGAGGAGTTTTTTCGGGACGCTAAGCGTGAGCGGCTTTTACGAACCAATCAGAAGACAAGTTTCCTGCCACACATTTCGAGATTCATTCGATTTTATCGACTCAATAGAAAACGTCTACGTATCCAACAAGACCATGACTTCATTAGGTGTCACGTCATTGTTCAATAACGTCCCACTGACTGAAACAATATGCTACATATGCGAACTTAATCACTCACAGGGAATAAACATCGGTATACCCACCGAGCGTCTTAAAGAACTCCTACTGAGATGTACCCTGAACGTTCAACTCTATTTCTATATTAGATCATTCTTGTACTACCTAATTAATTATATAAACTTGACAAACATCATGTACACATACACGCACACACAAAATAATTGTATATAAATGCGACTGTATAGCTATGCGAATGAATTTGTCAAAAAGAGTCTCTTCGCTGAACGTCTTCTCTTCTTCATATGACTCAATGGGGATTTCTAAGCTACAATTCCAAATCAGGAAGGTGGGGTTGTGCAAACTCAAGATATCTACCTGTCTATGTGTTCCCAAACCTGCAGGTAAACTTGTAGATACAATGTACAATAGAGTCCATAGAATTTCGTCCTTTACTCGTAAGCAAAGGAATTGAATATGTTCGAGGTGTAAGGAAAAGCGACATGGCGTAGAATGTGGATTTTAGAGCTAACTGAAGCTTTTGATCTGTCAACCGTAGGGTATCCGTCACAATTTGGTATGGAAAAAGTCTCCCTTTTTTACTAAGACATACAATGAAGTTTTCAGGATATCAATTTTTTTTTGTATTCCTTCACGTTCCCAGTGGAATATAGGGCTTCAAGCTAGCGGCTTGAAGTTTCTGTAGCAGTGTTTATTTTTACAGGATGGAGTTGCTAGCCTCATACCCAACCTTTCCTCTTCACCAGCTTCAGTTCTGGTTTAGCGAGGTAAAGGAGTGCATCGGCCGGGGATCGAGCCCCGTACCATGTGCATGGTCGGCGAGCGTCCTAACCGCTATGCCATCGCCGCACAATATCAATTAGTCAAAAGAAAACACTGAATGTGTATACACTGTAGCTCATCCATTAATATATCGCTTGTGGAAATGTTACATGAGACCTTAAAAGCAAACATTTCGCCAGGAAACGTTTTTACCGGATAGGAACAAATTTTCTGAATTGATAATAATATTGTCCACTTTACGTCTACTGCTTGAAAAATATTGATCACTCTTAATTGTTCTTTCGTCTAGTCATCTAAAATATTCAAGATGTCCAATTTTTCCTATTCATTGCAAATTCTCAAATCATTCAAGTATTTGAACAAGTAGAATTTTAAACAGAGTAATGAGATTTAAGTGGATTTTAGATTTTCCCGTCGATTGATTGGACTGAAGTGCTCGGTCTCAGGTTGACATGTCGGCATCTTGTGCAGATGCTTCGACGATGTCTGGGCATTTAATTAGAATTTAATTTGTGGATGGTGACTAGCAGTGGAATCCAGGATGCGCATTTCGTCATATTTAGGACTCGTTGGTGGCTAGATGTACCTGCATTTCCCAGTTAGTGAGTGACGATGTTCTCACCACCGAGGCTCGAACCCAGTGCCCATAGTTTCAAACGCCAAAAAGCGTTATCCACTAGACCACTTGGGCCACGGGAGCCACCTGTTGTGCAACGAGTCATATTAGTTATTCAATTGAATTTTAGATTCTTCCGTCGATTGATTGGACCAAAGTGCTCGGTCCCAGGTTAACATGTCGGCTTCTTGTGCATTAATGAGGTTGTTAACTGACTCACTAATAATTCCGTCTTGTTGACACTGTTTATTCTACAATGTGACTAACCGCTATTCCTTACTTATTTCCAAGTCAATTTTGATTTTTCCATTGATTGATTGATTATTTGGACTGAAATACTGAGTGTCTTTTGTTGGCATATCGGCTCTAACTAGTTGGGGGTGCGTGGGTGCTTCTACGATGTTTGAAGATTATTCAGTAACGTCATTTTTAGTGAATAGTTGCTTCCAGTGAAATCTAAGACATGCGCCTGCTTCGTCCTATTCGGCACTCATCTTCTGGATATACGTGCATTCCCCAATGAGTGGTAGTGGTGGCGGCGGTGTTTCCACTGAAACTCCAAACCTTAGTAATCATTGTTTCAACCGTCAAAGTGTTATCCACTTGATCCACCGTCAATTCCACTGCTGGTCACCGTCCATTAAACTTAAATTTCTAATATTTATCACATTTTGCCTTTCTTTATCTAATGATTTTTTTCTCTTTTGCTTTTTGGTTTTCCTTTTGTAGAAATAGAAATTCCAGCGTTGACATCTGAAGATTTAAACAAATTTTGAAAATACTCATTTCGACAGTTACCTGGTTAAAACCTTTGCCTTATTTCGATTTCTTGATTCGTCAACAGTGTTTTTTTGTTTTTGGTCGTTTTTTCACGTTGTATATACAGTTATATAAATTCCTTAGGTCTATGGTTGTTATTTGTTTCGCCTCTCTTATGAAATTATCTAATAATTAAATACACACCATTTCGTTTTCTGTGATTTAAAAATGGTTTACATGTGATCAGATGACTGTAAAATTTCATCATCTTTTTCTTACCACCTTAGTCGAACCACCAACCAATCAGAATATTCGTTTTTTTTTCTATTGAAATGAGAACAAATTATATTAAATATTCCCATAGTAAAATTTAGAACAACACATTTAAGCGAACAATATTGTGCTTTCAATTAGATCTCATCAGGCTTAACTCAAATATATATAAGTTTACAAATAAAAATTCAAATATAAACCAATCATGGTGGTATTGTCTATAGGATAATACGATGGTGAAGATAAATTGTGCAATTAGTCATAATAGTAGTAGTAATAATAATAATAATAATGGTCTTATCAATAATAAGGATGAAAAAGTGAGGCAATCTGTAATAACATCAATAATGAAAAAACAGCATGATTAAACAAACAACTGTTCAGGTGGAAGTAGTCGATAAAGGCTAGTAAAAACAAATGAACTGATTAAGTAATGTTAGATTGTAAGGGAAGGAAATGAAACACGTTTATAATGAAGATTTGATAACATAAGGGATGATAAGAAAGGGGTTGAAAATATAAACAAAGAGTGGTGTAGAAGTCATCATTTGGTTATGTCCTAATAGGCCAAGCAAGGGAGGGATAATGGCTGTACGAACTTCTTTTGAATACATAGTTTACGTTTAATAGTTCGAATGCCGATCGCCTCAGCTGTGTGTAGTAGACGACTACGAAGTCTATTGGAAAGATTTGGTGGGATACGATGAACCACTTTGAAGGCTCTCGTTTTCTCGATTACATGACCACTATCAATTAAGTGTGACAAAATTGAGCTACGAACTGTTTTAGTCTGTCCTTTGCCAAACCACGATGGGAGATGTTCACTAACATGTTGATTAATACACATAGATATGGCAAAACTATCAAGCTTCTCCTTCGTTTGTGTCCCAATCATTCTTTGGCCAGAGAATGACAAACATAGGTGTGCTGCATAAAATGTTCTTCGTATACTCCTTGAAAGTCTCTGGAATAGAATCTCACTTGATAAGTCACCATTAAATTGTAACTTAATAAATAGAGGTTTCTTACGTGCAGTCAGAGTCTCCGGTTTTTTCTCCGATATTTTCATATGTTTCTTTATGAATCTACTCGGATAGCCCATCTCCGTCAAGGAATCGTGAATATATTCAAATTCCTTTTGTAAGAGGTCATCTATACATATCTTTCTTGTTCTGCTCGCAAGACATTTTACAACGTTCCTTTTATATTTAATGGGCACGTAACTAAGGAAGTGTGTGTATTGCCCTGTGAAAGTGCTTTTTCTATACACGCTTCTCCCAAGTGACCCATCTTCTCTCCTACTTAGCAAGACATCCAGGAAATGTAGTTCATTCTCCTGCTCCTCTTCACAAGTAAAGGTAAGCGAAGGATGGATGTTGTTGAATTTCAGCAACAATTCATCTATGTTAACATTCTCATCAGCTAAGATAAATGTATCATCTACATATCGGTAATACATATCAAACTCTTTGATGATATCCTTTAATTTCCCGTTTTCAAGTTTTGCGAGAAAGAAGTCAGCTAATATTGGGCCTAATGGTGAACCCATAGCTATTCCATCTACTTGTCGATAGTATGAATTATTGAAGACAAAGTGAACATTCATTGTGCATTTAAGAAGTAATTCTTTGAGGCTACACAAGGGGATTCCTAAGTCTAATTACCTTTCAGCGATTTCTTGACAGATATAATCTACTGTTTCCATTAGTGGTACATTAGTGAATAGTGACGATACACCCATGGATAACATGCGTTTATACTTCACATTAGTCTCGGAAGAACAAATTAGTTCAGCGAAGAGTTTCTTTTCGGCGAATTCATTCACTTAGCTGTACAGTCGCAAATATATACAATTAATTTTGTGTGTGTGTACATTAGGTTAGTCAAAATCAAAATAACAGTTAGTGCGGGTTGTTGATTACATCATCAAAATGACTAAGAAATTAAAATGTGTGATTAATAATCAAAGTTGTAACTAAGTGGGGTGAAGATTGGTAAGATGTGAGTTTTTTTTTTTTATCCTTCACGTTCCCAGTGGAACATAGGGCTTCAAGCTAGAGGCTTGAAGTTTCTGTAGCAGTGTTTTTTTTACAGGATGGGGTTGCTAGCCTCATGCCCAACCTTTCCTCTTCACCAGCATTATTTCTGGTTTAGTGAGGTAAAGGAGTGCGTCGGCCGGGGTTCGAACCCCGGACCATGTGCATGGTCGGTTACGTAATATAGACATGTTTAGAAAGATTAGATGTTAGGGAAGGAGTATGGAGACAATTATGAAAATAAACTAGATAAAAGGTGAAAAGATTGAATGGACTAGTTACTAAAAATTATTATACGAAAATTGCAAAAAAAATTTGATAACAAAATGTTGATGACAGATAAACTTGAAATTAAACCCACGGTAGTAGGAGGGGGTGGAGAAGTTTCTTCTGTGTGCATAACTCAGGCTTTTCTATCCAAATCGCTAGGGCTTCAGCAATACAAAGTATACGGAAGCTTGTCGATTTTGGAAGGCTTCTTTTGACTTTATAGATGACTTTGAACGACTTCTCCTTGCAAATCGAATGACCAGTGTTGAGTATATGCTCAATAATGGCGCTCCTTATTGCTCCGTTGTTACCTTTCCGTAGCCAGGCGGGATAGTGTTCTTGAACTCTTTTAGATAAAACTCACATCGAACGACCTATATATCTCGCTCCGCAAGAGCAGGTGAATTGGTAGATACACAAGGAAGTGGTCAAATGCGATAGTTTATCTTTAGAGTAGTTGAAGAACAATGGCCGGGAGGAAAATGTCAGTCGTAGTGTGGCAGCGAAGAATGTCCTTCTGAGAGCAGTAGATATCCTCTTCTTCAAGGTGTCAGCCAGAAGGTCACCTTTGAAGGGTACATTCATGTAGACCATCTTCTTCTGCACTGTAATGGGTTGTTCTTTGTACGTCTTAGGCTTAATGTGCTTGTCTATAAAACGAGGTGGGTAGCCATTCTCGAGCACTGTCTTCCTTAAGAGGGCGATCTCTTCCTCTATTGATTCAGGACTGCAGATTTTCCGGATTCTAGTCGCCAGAGATATTATCAAGTTTCGCGTGCGACTAATTGGTACCCAACTGTAGAAGTTTGTCAACTGACCGTTCCACGTAGGGTTAAAATTCTAAGAAGTAATACAGGTAGATGGAGAGAGAGGTTAATTAGTGAATACTTGATCATCGAGTCTACACCCAACACATGCAATAGGAAAGACTCATCACTCATACCACATAGACGGAAAATACTACTACCACTCATCAAGTCAAGCAAAGAAATATGGTGGAATTATATAAACGAAGTTAGAAAGTTGTGTGAGTGGTGTCTTGATATGATTATGAGCACTAGTAATAAATTGTGCCGCAAACGCGGTCATCAGTAAATATTACTGTATAACACTACTGTAAGACTTCATCAAAATAAATTTCACCCATAATGGAACTAGGCAACAGCCATCAGAACCATTAATACTCCGATAGTACAGTAACCCATCAACTCCTTGCAAACTAACACTTGATTATTTTATTATTACTCATGCCTTGCGCTTCGAGTCGAATACAGACCCTCATTGACACATCTCTATCACAGTCATATGGTTCTACAACTGTCCATAAGCTTTCAGCTGCTCCTCACACATGATCTTCTCCCTGTCAATCTAAGACATTCTGCCTAGGTATTGAGACCCATGGGCACCTCTGGTTTGAAATCAGAGTTTTCCCGTCAGTGAAGTGATAGCCACTGTCTTCCACACTCTTTTCGTAGCTGTGTTACGCGACATTGCAAAATGGGGAGTAAATACCCCCATATAGAATCCTAAATTATTACCTTGTTACAAAGTTTTGAATCGACATTTATGCACTACTCACCACCAGATCATTTAAGGTCACTAAAGTATTTCCACATACCGAGTGAGAAACTACTTTGAAGTTAGTAACACGTTGTGATTAACCGGGTGGGCTACGACTACTCCGATTCCTAAACATTAAGAACTGAGTTCAATGAGAAGTTTCATGCAACCGGTTCCCTTTATTAGTTTGAAGAGAGAAAGAACGAACATATTTGCAGGATAATACGAGCTCGTTTTATTTCGTGGATTCTCATCAACTGCATACATCCTAAACAAAATCAAATTATAGGTTTCAAGAAAGTTGTGGAACATACTTTTTCATAAATACTTTGAGTTATAGATAGAAGGCATAAGAAACATAATTCCAGAAATTGATGTAGGTAGACAGATTATTCGGTGTCAAAAAACAACTAATTATATATAGTGGAATTGGATAAGAGGGGTAAGAGTTCAGATTTCTATTGGAAAACAACACAGATTGGTTAGAGGCATATTACAGGGTCAGGGTCTCTGAACTCTTACCCCTCTTATCCAATTCCACTATATATAATTAGTTGTTTTTTGACACCGAATAATCTGTCTACCTACATCAATTTCTGGAATTATGTTTCTTATGCCTTCTATCTATAACTCAAAGTATTTATGAAAAAGTATGTTCCACAACTTTCTTGAAACCTATAATTTGATTTTGTTTAGGATGTATGCAGTTGATGAGAATCCACGAAATAAAACGAGCTCGTATTATCCTGCAAATATGTTCGTTCTTTCTCTCTTCAATGAGAAGTGTTTCTTAGTGTTACTCTGCAGGGCTTTGATTGATTTCATGTTTACAATCTTAGATTGATATCAATTAGAAAATCATTAAAAACCAGCAGGGAGTACTGGACAGCCGTTCCGTCGTAATTCATGGTTCTTCATCTGTATTCATTCATGACCTTATCAGGGATAAAACCTGGAACCTTCGAGTTTTGAGGCTGAGCTCGTTGACTACACAGTCACTCGCGGAGGGTAGGGAGGAGTGTAGAACAATGGCCCGTGACTTCTAACTTCTATCAACTCGCGATATGTAGTGCCACCACTAACCAATATAATCGATGAGTGTTTGTCCTTATTCTCGACTTGTCAGACCCTAGTGGTCACCACATCTCATTAGAACTCCAGGCAACTTGGTCTAGTAGTTGGCCACTAGTGAACTGAAGAGTCGTTGACTAGAACGAAACAGCGGTCCAGTACTTCCGTGTAGTATTCAGTCGTTCTCTAACTCTGATATCGATCCATGATCAAATCTGATCAGTTTCAAATTGTCCACATTGACAGTTTATGTATTCGAATTCGTAAACACTTATTATCATTACTCCCTTGATTTCCGAGTGGATTGTAAGGCTTCAACAACACATCTCTACTTGGTGCTGTCCTCTTCATCTGAGTCCACGATTGAACATAATCTCTTATCTCCTCCTTGCAACACGACCACTGATGACCCACTCGTCGCTTCCCATTGGGATTCTACTCGAACAATGACCTGGCGTGCGATGTCATTCGACCATTCCATCTGCTGTTTCAGATTCCCAGAACTTCTATACCATTTTTACTCATTTCTTTGGCTAACTGGGCAGCCTTCCCAGCCTCGTACATTCTACGTCCCTACTCTTATTCTTGCTTTCATCGAGAGAGAGAAGACACATCGGCT